AAGACCGCCGCCCCCGCCGGGGCCCCCGCGCCGGTCGCCACGCGCCGCCGCTCCAAGTCCGAGGTGCGGAGAGCGGCGGCGCCGCTGCCCCCCCGGGCTTGCGTGCCGTCGACGCGGTAGCAACGCGTCGTGGGTTCGCGTCCGGGAGGTGTGGCGGAGTCTCGCGGGTGCTGTTGAGAAGAAACGGGAGTTTATTTGGAGAGAGAGAGAGATGGTCAAATGTCTCTGCGATTCCTCGGGTGTCTCTGTGAGGCTGATGGTTCCGTTGTAGTCAACCGATTAGCACGGTTGGCAATGGACAGTGTAAGAAGTTCAACATAGAGTACATACGTGTTAGGGGACTCTCTGGGTCTCTGAGCCTTTGGGCATTTATGCCAGTCTGTATCTCTGTCCAAGTCTATGCAAGGCAAATGCAGAATTAGATCGTCTCAACGTGACCACATCTCGAGATGCTGTGTGGAAGAAGCGGTTTGGCGTAGTTATTTATTGCAGAGGCAGACACACGATCAGTAAAAACAAAGGACTTGAGCCTCGACTTGGCAGGGAGCCTACAGCACGGATGGCTGAGGGGAGGGAAACTGCGCCGCCCTTTGCGCCCGATGTGGCTTGGAGGTCATCGCTGAGTGTTCACATTGACGGTACTTGTCTCTCCGCTGCTGGATGAGGGCCCTCCCCCTGCCTCTTAAGTTCATGGAGCTCTTAGTTTTACGGGTCGGTTAAGGCGGCCGCTCTCTGTGCTGCCAGGCCCAGAAGGAGCTGCTCGACATGGAGCTGGACCTGCACAACAAGATGCAGGCGGGCGAGGACGTGTCCGACCTGCGCAAGAGGCTCTACACGCTGCAGTTTGAGGTGCCGCCCCTCCCCGGCCCAAACCGCCGTCCCCTGACCACCCACCGCCTTCCCATCGCCACCACCGCATTCCCATCGCCACCACCGCCTTCCCATCACCACCACCGCCTTCCCATCGCCACCACCGCCTTCCCATCGCCACCACCGCCTTCCCATCGCCACCACCGCCTTCCCATCGCCACCACCGCCTTCCCATCACCACCACCCCCTTCCCATCGCCACCACCGCCTTCCATCGCAACCACCGCCTTCCCATCGCCACCACCCCCTTCCCATCACCACCACCGCCTTCCCATCGCCACCATCGCCTTCCCATCGCCACCACCGCCTTCCCATCGCCACCACCGCCTTCCCATCGCCACCACCGCCTTCCCATCACCACCACCCCCTTCCCATCGCCACCACCGCCTTCCCATCGCCACCACCGCCTTCCCATCGCCACCACCGCCTTCCCATCACCACCACCCCCTTCCCATCGCCACCACCGCCTTCCCATCGCCACCACCGCCTTCCCATCGCCACCACCGCCTTCCCATCACCACCACCCCCTTCCCATCGCCACCACCGCCTTCCCATCGCCACCACCGCCTTCCCATCGCCACCACCCCCTTCCCATCGCCACCACCGCCTTCCCATCGCCACCATCGCCTTCCCATCGCCACCACCGCCTTCCCATCGCCACCACCGCCTTCCCATCGCCACCCACCGCCTTCCCATCACCACCACCCCCTTCCCATCGCCACCACCGCCTTCCCATCGCCACCACCGCCTTCCCATCACCACCACCCCCTTCCCATCGCCACCACCGCCTTCCCATCGCCACCACCGCCTTCCCATCGCCACCACCCCCTTCCCATCACCACCGCTCGTCACGCTGCTGGACGCCGGCTCCATGAGAGTCGCCGTGCCGTTCCTCTCCGTTTACAGCCTTCGCTCGCGTTTTCCTGTGTCGCGACTTTTCCGGTTTGTTTTCCCGCAGTTTGCGTCCAACGCTACGGAGCTTGGCTGTGTGCGTGCGTGCACCTAGCCTGGCACAGGCACCGTAACGTCGGTCATCGCACGTTTCAGCGCCGACGTCTTAAGCGGTGCGCCCCTGTGTTCGCGTGTGCAGGCCGCTCACTTGGGCATCCTGGGAGCCGGAGGCCGCGGCGGGCGGGGGGGTCCAGGCTCCTCCGGGAGGGGGCGGGGGTCGCGGGGTCGGGGCGGCCGGGGTGGTTACCGGGGCTCACGGGGCGGCCGTCACCCGCTGATGTCGCACACGGCGCTGGATTACCGGCCGCGTGCGCTGCAGGTGTGCGGCCTCGCCGCCGAGGACAAGGACGACGTCCTGCTGCACTTCAAGGTGCGTCGCGTGTTTACTCATGGGTGTGTTGTGTACGCGTGCTTGTGCGTACATCTGCGTGTTCACGCACAGCCCCTTTGCTGCTGAATGATGGCTTCACTCCACCCTTCAGGTTGATAAAAAGCGGTGGGGAGCATAGATGTGGGAGTTCAAAGTAGAGTACAACTGGATTTTGCTGCACTGCCCTCTGCCACGCACTGCACAGCCATTTGTCGAGGCTCAAACCTGTTTGGGTCACGAGACCTGATGAGACGAGGTGCATTGCAGGTGTACAGCCTTAAGACTCTCGCAGCAAGTGCTGTTCGCGAGCACCCATGCAGGCTGGCATGGCACACGAGGCGGTGGATGGCCAGCACCACGCCCGACCACCTTTTATGCATCGGCGATTTTAGCACGTGCGTGTGTATATGTGCGTGCGTGTGCAATCTGCGTGCAAGAGCAACAGTGACATGGTGCTTTGGTCGTGTGGGCGTGAGTAGAGTCTAGGGGAGGTGGAGGATTTCCGCAGCGAAGAGGGGTCCTCGTCGGCCGTCGTCACCTTCAAGACGCGACTGGAGGCTGAGCACGTGAGTGTCGCCCTCTCCCCGCGCGAGACTCCAGCGTTGCCTGCAAGGCCCCGGCGCTTCCCCGTGCTGCCGGCGCCGGTCGCTCGCTCGCGCATCCGTTTTCATCGGTAAACGGGAAGGCCGGTGTTGGCCACACGGGGCACGCGTTGTACGAGGCCTGGATCGATTCACTTGGCGATTCCAAGTGTCGCGATTCAGGTGTCACGTTTCAATTTAGCAATCAATTATTTCTCGCCTCGTTTTTTTGTCTCGTTGGTCTTTTAATCTTCATTTGAAGCTTTCGTGACTGCAGGAATCCATACTCTTTGGTTAAGGTAAAGTCGCGTAGCAGTTTAACTGCTGGATTATATTTTTTTCGCCTGAGGATGACCGCTTGTGTTGCGATCGAAACGTCGTGATTTATTTTATACCTACGTGACTTTACCGAAAGAAGCAAAGAGTATCGTTTGTCTTTTGTCTGTCGTTATCCTCGATGCAACATGAGCAAAGCACGTTAGAGAGTCTTACATCGTGGCATTCCAGAAGCGAGTCTGACGTCGCTTGCCCAGTGTCCGAGAGGGCTCTCTCTTGGGTCTCGCACTGATCGTCAAGTCCGCGTTTCCACTCGCGAATTCCCTGCAAGTCGATGACCCCCCGTGTCCTTCTCTCCGTGTCTCCCCGTCCGCGTCTCCCGCTGTGCGCGTGCTGTCTCAGGCCGCGACACAGGGCGCGCGCTTTAAAGGCCGAGACCTCGTGCTCTCCTGGCACAAGCCAAAGATGGCGTCCACGTCGGCGGAACCCGAGGACGAGGACGTGGAGGAGGAGGAGGTACGAGACGGTCGTGGCGGAGCGTGTGGTGGCGCTGCTGCTAGAGGCAGTCGTCACGGAGCGTATGGTGGCGCTGCTGCGATGAGAGGCGGTCGTGGCGGAGCGTGTGGTGGCGCTGCTGCGAGCGACGCGGTTAGGGACGCATCGTGGGCTCTCGTGCCAGGCGCCTGGCTCGGCACAACCATGAGCCTATTGAGTGTGTAACCGTCTGCTTTAGCGTCTGTACGTGCGTGCGTAACTGCGTGTGCACGTATGAGCGTAAACATCTGTGGAATCGTGTATGGTGTGTGTAACCCCGTGTGTGTATCTGCATACGTGTAACCGTATGTGTGACTGTGACTGTGACTGACCGTGTGTGTCACTGTGACCTTGACCTTGCGTGTGACCTTGACCTTGCGTGTGACGGTGCGTGTGACCGTGCGTGTGCGCCAGGAGGGTGAGGCCACCGACGACACGCTGCTGCAGGACGATGACGAGGAGGAGGAAGAGGACGAGTCGCGCTCCTGGAGGCGATAGCGACCTCGTCACGACCTCGTCACGACCTCGTCACCACGGCCCGCCCCCTCTGGCTGGGGACCCCCACCCCGCCGACGGCCGTCTGCCTGCGTTCAATTTGACCCGTGGCTTGGAAGCGATCGGGATTGTCAGGCGGCCGCGTTGTTGTTTTGATATTGCTATATTTACGGTAATTTGGCAGCGAGCAGAGCGGAGGGATGTTCGCTCGGGTTAGATAAGATGTTACGAGCTGTACACAGATCTCTAAAATTGGATTTAAACAACTTGTAATATAACTCTTAGTTTGTAAAAAATATGAATCTTGCGCGCTGTGTTATAGTCACGGTATGCATTTGGACAGGTCATAGTTTTTATGCTTAGTATTTTATGACTAGGACATGGTGGCGTATATTTTTTTGTGTCGTTTTGATTGTCTCAATTGCTTTACACGCGGGACGGATGCGGCGCCACGAGGGGGGGGGGGTGGCGGCAGCGGCAGCTCCAGCAGCGCCGTCACGCGACACGGCCGAAATGCCCGCGCTCACAACCCCCCCCCTGCCCCCCGTGCCCCCGTATCCGGGTGGCTGCCCTCCCCGTGTACTGCGCGCTCGCTGTGGACGGCCGGTGAAGTCGACCGGCTCGAGCCGAAACTTGCGTCGGATTCCACCCCCCCCACCCACCCCCGGCCCACCTTCCCCTTCGCTCGCCGCCCTGCGTCCGCACGGTGGCGGCGGCATCGTTGTGAATTTTTACTCTCGTTGATTTTGTTTTGGCATTGAAAGGAAATAAAATGTGGAATGGTTTTGGGGGGAAAAAGAAAAAAAAAGAATATCAAGTGAAATCCTAAATGAGCTGGAATTAAAAAAAAACTAAAATGTAAACACCTTCGATTGGAAGTGAAATTGGACAAAGCAAATGAAACCATTCCGATTGAACTCCCCCAAGTTTTTCCAAAAGAACTTTTACCAAGTGTCAAGGCATTTTTCACATGGGCTCTGTGTACATGTGTATGAGTGTGTGTACAAGTGTGCTACAAACCCGGCGACCAGAGTTCGTTTCCCGCTCAACACCGGTGACGATTATCTGAACCGGTCATTGGCCTCCCCTAGGTTGACTCTGCCTAAAATGAGTACCTGGTGCGGTGTGTAAACATTGCCATTGGGGAGACAAAAGGCTGGCCACCCACCACCTCGTGTGCCATGCCGGCCTTTAAGGTGCTCGCTAAAAGCACTTTCTTCAGTCTGTAATGGCGAGACGGGATATTTGTGCTAAGACAAAGTGGGTGGGTGTTGGTGTCGTTGCTGGCGGACTGCGAAACAAACCCGAGTTTGTCCGAATTTATCACGAGTATATGCTGGCCGGGTGTGGTGCTGACCACCCAACTCTTCTTCCGGCCTTGGTGCTTGCTAACAGCACTTGCCCCAAGTCTGCTAAGGCTATACGGTCTTCTGTATGCGTAACACATGGGCATGGTGTGAGTGGTGTCAATTGTCGCGCAGGGGAGTAATGTGGTTACCCCACGGTAACCCGATTTGCGGGGTCGCCGGGGCCCCCCTCGCAAGCGCAGGGCAGCGGACGTCGCCCCCATTACCACATTTACAGCTCTCAGGGTGGTAACGGGAGACGCGTCTTGGAGCCGCGCCGCTGTGGTGCAGTCAGGGAAGTGATGGTGCAGTTGGGGGGAGTGATGCGAGTGGTGGTGAAGTTGGGGGGAGCCATGGATTTGGAGTGATGCGAGTGGTGGTGAAGTTGGGGGGTGTGGTGGTGGGAGTGATTTTTGGGATGAGAGATGGCTCTGAAGGCTAAACCACTCCAACACGAAAAACGCTCTAACCACGTATCTATTCCCTTCCCGGCCCACCCCGGATGACAAGACCCTGGTAATGAGTGATTCGCAGGGTCAAGGAAACCTCTCTCCGTGTCGGTTTAATCGCATTCTCGTCTCCGAGTCATCCACCTCCCTGCATAACGACCACGGGTAAAACAACCTTCAAATAACACCCATAACGGCCAAGGTACAGCTACGAAACCCAGACCACCAACACCACCAAAAGTCCACACCTTCACCACAATGGGGTTGCTCTCGCCCTCACGTGCGTGCGGTGTTTGTGAGGCGTGGGTCACCAGGCCCTGGTCACGGGGCCCTGGTCACGGGGCCCTGCCCCCAAACTCCGTGCCACCCGCTCAGCAGGAGAGCAGAGCTGGTGCCAAAGTCACATTGGAGGACGGGAGGAGCCGCCGTGGCATCGCCCACGAGTCCCTCTCGTGTGTTTGCGCCACCGGCAAGCGGAGATGGCAACGGGCGCAGGCCAAAACGCGGCCTGGCACTACCGGAGCCTCCGTGGCACCGTCACGGGAGCAGCCTGGGTAGCCGCAGAGACTGGCCCTGCGGGAAGATGCAGACACGGTGGTCACTCATGAGAACGACAACCCCCTCTGTCGACAATTCCGACTGTTGGCAGCAAATGCTGGGCACGCAGGCAACGTGGCCTCGCCTGCCGGAGGAGCTCACCCAATGGGAGCGTGTCCAGATCTTTCAAAGATCTGCGAGCTCCTCACACTAATCCAGCCTGGTTAAACTTGACAGGATCCTCCTGAAGAAGATTCATGAGACTCGGTGGGGCTTCCCGCGTGAACAAGCATCGTAAATAATAAAGCCACAACAGTGACTTCGTGGAGGTGCTCCCTGCGGAGCGCCTGTGAAGTTAAATGGGCCAGAGGACATCCCTGTCACGCACACCCCCAAGGTGAATAGGAAATGGCTCCGTCTCCCGGCCGCGTGGCTTTTTCCCAAGCCTGCCCACCATCATGAAGGTCCTTAATGACTGTGATCAGAGGATCCATCGTGAAGAACAACCCACAGCCGGCACGCAGCACCGCCGCGCGGCTGCTGCATATTGATGCGCGCGATTCTGTGTTCCCGGCGTGAAACTTCACCCGAGACAAACACAACATACCAACATACAAACACACAAACACGGCTTCGCCTTTGATGCTCGTCGAGACGACCGTTGCGACGACGGCGGCGGCAACGGCGGCCGCCGTCGTCACCGCCGCGCTCATTACAATCACAAAGCGGAGGCATGCGGCCGCCTCGGGCTACGAGACGCTAGCGCAGCCGCACGGCCCCGGGGCAGCGGCGGCGGCAGCTGCGGGGCGAGGAGTGGTGAGGAGTGCGGGCGAGTGTGGGGTGAGGAGTGGTAAGGAGCAGTTAGGAGTGGTGAAGAGTGCGGGCGAGTGTGGGGTGAGGAGGCGCGTGGAGAGTGCGTGGCGCGTGAGTTGAAGGGGGTAGATTGACCGCAGGAAGAGGGCGAGTGGCGAGTGTTGTATCAGGTGTGTGGTGAGGAGTGTAAAGGGCGAGTGGTGAGTGGTGTAGGGTGAGTGGTTGGTGAGCGGTGTGGTGTGAATGGTGAGTGTTGGGTGAGTGTTGAGTGCGGGGCGAAGGGTGCGAGGTGGTGATTGGGAGTGTCGCGCGAGTGGTTGGTGAGTGTGCGGTGACGAGTGTGGTGTGGGTTGAGTGGTGAGCGTGGAGTCGTCCCACTGCACATCGTCCCAGAAGGCCGCGTGTGCTGCTCGTTGTGTACGCAGGAAAGTGCCTCGTTATGCTAATGAGCGAGGAGGCATCGTACGCATTCATGGTGATGAACGGAAAGTGGAGGACATAGTTTCGTAAAAAAACACGACACCAACAGTACAGTGACACTCGTGTGTGTCCTCCGTATTTGAGATGCGATCTCACGACCGAAGCCACGACCCCACCACCATTCACATTCAAGTAAACTTTTTGTTGTTGCTGGACCATGTAAGGCCCACTGAGCTATGTAACTCTTTTTCGGAAGCGACCAGGGCCACAAATGATAGCTCAACCAAGTGGATTCTCGCATGGGAATGTACAGCAGCCAAATACTCGAAATGCTCGTCTCTAAATGTGGATGGATAAAACCTGAGGAACCGGAGAAAAATCCACGCGACCACGGGGAGAACACGCAAACTCCACACGATAGAAGGCGTCAGGGTTGGGATCGAACCCACGAGCCTGCAGCATACCAGGCGAGATCGTCAACATCTCCTAGCCACCGTGGCGCTCCCCCCCCCGCCCCCCCCCCATGACCTCACTACCAAACCCAAGACCACCTGACCCACGTCACCGTCCCGAGATTTTACGGAGGCCGCAGCGCGCGCCGTTATCAAAGCCGCCCCCCTCACCCCTGCCCCAAGGTGACCCCACCCCCCCCCCCCTCTTGGATTCGTGATTAGAATTCCCCCGCCGACCCCTTTTCTGCATCTGGGATCCCTTTCCGCGCGGCAAGCGGTAAGGGGGGACCAGACAGGGAGCGCGTGCGCACTCGGTCCGCCTCCTCCTCCCTGCTCAGCCGTGGGAATTTGGTGGCGTCCATAAAAGATTCAGGCCTCGCGAGGCATTAGTCGTGAATGGCGAGTGATGAGATGCGACCAGACGCGGAGACCGCCGCTGCGACGCGGAGCAAATGAAAACGCTGAATTATACAGCGCGCTTCTACAAACACAGCCCCGAGTCCCGGCCAAACACGCGGCTCCTTCGCGGCCTGGAGATTTCTGTCGTCTAAAGTGGGTTTCCGGATTTCCCCAAGGGGGGGGGGGGGGGGTCTCGCTCCGTTCCACGCACGCTCCCCGGGTCGCGCCCATGGGATGCGCGGAAAGTAAACTTTCTCCTGTCTGGCGGCGCGCGTGCGAAAAAGAGAGGGGTGGGGTGGGGGACGGCGACGCGCACACACGCACATCAACCGCATGCACACATACACCATGCATACACTCGCATGCACACATCCACCGCAGCACACACAGAGACACCAAAGGTCACCTGTAAAGCCTTAACACTGTTAGGGTAAGTGCCGTTCGCGAGCACCTATGAAGGCCGGCACGGCACACGAGTGGGTGGGTGGCAAGCACCACGCCTGGCTGCCTTTGTCTCCCTAGTGGCGATGTTTACACATCGTACTAGTTTCTCATTTGAGCCTGATGCAACTTAAGGGTGGCCTTTGACTGGTCAGATATTCGTCAGGTTCATCGGCGCAGTGCACTAAAATCTACACTACCGCTCCCCACGCACACACACAATCGTGCGTGTACGCATATGCAGTATCGTGTGCGCGTTCACAGCTATTGTACACAGCTGTTGCACAAGCTATCGTGCGTATGTGTGTTGAACTGCTTTCGCGCCGTACACACAGCTATCGCCAATGTCGGTCACACTTTGCCGATATTTTTGGTATCTCGAGTGACGGCTTGTTCTCGTTTCCGATTTCGATTTGCTTCGCCGCTCTCAAATGTATTTATTTGTTTTGCTTTCACTCTGTGACAACAGGTCGCTCTCGCAAGTGACACTCGCGGTCTCTCTCGCGAGTCCCCACCTGGTCGCACGGAACCGACCTGAACCCCTTGAAAAGCTGGCGGCAGCGCAACCGGCCCCGGCACGCCGATGAGCGCGGGGAGCCCAAACCCGTGACGGGTTTCCAACGTAAACGTCGGCCGACGAATTCCGTCATCCGTTGAGCCGAAAAGGGACCGTAAAGCGATCCCCACTTCAGAGATCAGGACGCGCGATCGCCACGCCGGCGTTCCCACGTCTGTCCGCGGTGGAACCGGTGGCCGCCCCGAGCGAGTCGAAGGAAGGGGGGCACAGGGGCAGGAGGGGCAGCTACCCCTAGGCGGGAGGGAGAGAGGGCAGCCTGCCCCCTACAGGGGAGGCGTGGGTGCCGCCGTGCCCCCGCCTCCCTCGTTTAACACCGGTCAGCGCGTGTGCTCGCGCGCCGACGCGGGGCACTCAAAACGGAATGTCAAATTAGCCGAGACGCCGTTAATATATTTGCCGGCGTCATCATTAATGCATGGGGGGGGGGGGGGGGGGGGCTGGAGCGCGGCCAGAGGCGGTGGGGGGGGGCCCCGTACGATAGTGCCCGTGACCCCCCCCCCAACGCCCACCTACCCCCACCCCCCGCCCCCCGCCCGGCACTCGCGAGAGAGTGAGTGAGTGAGAGAGTGAGAGTCAGTGCAGGGAAACTTGATTTGTATCGGGCGCCGGGGGGCAACGCCGCCCGCGCTCACCGGCGAGGGACGAGGCTCCGCGCGGGAGACGCTCTCACGCTGCCACCCCGTCTGGAGGGCCATTCAGTTTCCTCCGCCGTGGGCGAGCGGAGCGAGTGTGAGGGTCCGTGTGTGTGTGTGAGCGTGTGAGAGTCTATGTGAGAGTGTGAGAGTCTGTGTGTGTGTGGGCGACTGTGAGTGTCCGTGTGTGTGTGAGAGTGTGAGAGTCTGTGTGTGTGTGAGCGAGTGTGAGGGTCTGTGTGTGTGTGAGCGAGGCGAGTGTGTGAGTGTGAGCGAGTGTGAGAGTCTGCGTGAGTGTGAGAGATTGTGTGAGTCTGTGTGTGTGTGTGAGCGAGTGTGAGTGTCTGTGTGTGTGAGCGAGTGTGAGAGTCTGTGTGAGAGTGTGAGAGTCTGTGTGTGTGTGGGCGAGTGTGAGAGTCTGCGTGAGTGTGAGAGAATGTGTGAGTCTGTGTGTGTGTGTGTGTGTGTGAGCGAGTGTGAGTGTCTGTGTGATAGTGTGAGAGTCTGTGTGTGTGTGAGCGAGTGTGAGTGTCCGTGTGTGTGTGAGCGAGTGTGAGAGTCTGTGTGTGTGTGTGAGTGTGAGAGTCTGTGTGTGTGTGAGCGAGTATGAGGGCCCGTGTGTGTGTGAGCGAGTGTGAGAGTCTGTGTGTGTGTGAGCGAGTGTGTGAGTGTGAGCGAGTGTGAGAGTCTGTGTGAGTGTGAGCGAATGTGTGAGTCTGTATGTGTGTGTGTGAGCGAGTGTGAGTGTCTGTGTGTGTGTGAGCGAGTGTGTGAGTCTGTGTGAGTGTGAGCGAGTGTGAGAGTCTGTGTGTGTGTGAGCGAGTGTGTGAGTGTGAGCGAGTGTGAGAGTCTGTGTGAGTGTGAGCGAATGTGTGAGTCTGTATGTGTGTGTGTGAGCGAGTGTGAGTGTCTGTGTGTGTGTGAGCGAGTGTGTGAGTCTGTGTGAGTGTGAGCGAGTGTGAGAGTCTGTGTGTGTGTGAGCGAGTGTGTGAGTGTGAGCGAGTGTGAGTGTCTGTGTGAGTGTGAGCGAATGTGTGAGTCTGTGTGTGTGTGAGCGAGTGTGAGTGTCTGTGTGTGTGTGAGCGAGTGTGTGAGTCTGTGTGAGTGCGAGCGAGTGTGAGAGTCTGTGTGTGTGTGAGCGAGTGTATGAGCGAGTGTGTAAGTGTGAGCGAGTGTGAGAGTCTGTGTGAGTGTGAGCGAATGTGTGAGTCTGTGTGTGTGAGTCTGTGTGTGTATGGTGGGGAGCGGTAGTGTAGCGGTTAGCGCGCTGCGCTATGAACCTGGCGACCCGGGTTCGATTCCCGCTCACGGCCAACATCAGTGACGATTATCTGAACCGGTCCTGGGCCTCCCCTAGGTCGACTCAGCCTTAAATGAGTACCTGGTGCGGTGTGTAAACATCGTCACTAGGGAGACAAAGGCGGTCGGGCGTGGTGCTGGCCACCCACCCCCTCGTGTACCGTTCCGGCCTTCATAGGTGCTCGCTAACAGCACTTGCCCCTACAGTCTGTGAAGGCTATACGGGGGATCTTTGTCTTTGTATGAGCAAGTGTGAGGGTCCGTGTGTGTGTGAGCGAGTGTGAGTGTCTGTGTGTGTGTGAGCGAGTGTGTGAGTCTGTGTGGGTGTGAACGAGTGTGGGAGTCTGTGTGAGTGAGTGAGTGTGAGTGTCTGTGTGTGTGTGAGCGAGTGTTTGAGTCTGTGTGTGTGTGAGCGAGTGTGAGAGTCTGTGTGTTAGCGAGTGTGGGAGTCTGTGTGTGTGTGAGCGAGTGTGGGAGTCTGTGTGTGTGTGAGAGCCTGAACAGACTGTTGAGGCAAGTGCTGTTAGCGAGCACCTATGAAGGTGGCATGGCACACGAGGGGGTGATGGGTGGCCATCATCACCCCCAGCCCCCTTTGTCTCCCCAGTGGTGATGTTTACACACCGCACCAGGTACTAATCTGAGGCTGAGTGGACCTAGGGGAGACCCAGGACCAGTTCAGATAATCGTCACCGGTGTTGGCCGTGCTACGCTACCGCTCCCCAGCCTCATCCACACCCTGCCACCCTGGGGGTCAACAAGCCGAGTCATCCTCTGCTGAACCCCACACAGCCCCCCAGCAGCGACCCCCGACCCCCGACCCCACGTACCCGCTGCCGTGACAGCATCCAGGGGCGCAGGGTGCCAACGAGCAGGCCGCCCAGCAGGATCTGCGTCGGGTGGTAGACGAGCAGCGGCACGGTGAGCAGCGAAAGCTGCGGCATCCCCGCAAACACGATCTTCAGCATGGGCACACCTGGGGGCAACGCACGGGGGCACATGTACGCTCAGTCACGCTCGTGCGGGGTCACGCTCACGTTGGGTCAGGCTCCTGGGGTCACGCGCACGCTCGGTCACGCTCATGCGGGGTCACGCTCACGCGGGGTCACGCTCACGCGGGGTCACGCTCCCGGGGTCACGCTCATGCGGGGTAACGCTCGCGGGGTCATGCTCGCGGGGTCACGCGCACGCGGGGTCACGCGCACGCGGGGTCACGCTCCCGGGGTCACGCTCGCGGGGTCACGTGCACGCGGGGTCACGCGCACGCGGGGTCACGCTCGCAGGGTCACGCTCACGCGGGGTCACGCTCCACGCGGGGTCACGCTCATGCGGGGTCACGCTCACGCGGGGTCACGCTCGTGGGGTCACGCTCACGCGGGGTCACGCTCGCGGGGTCACGCTCACGCGGGGTCACGCTCACGCGGGGTCACGCCGGTGGATTAAACACAGCGAGTTGGTATTGTGGGGCAGTGCCGGTTGAGGCTAGTGCAGGGCCTGTAGCAAATGTTATAAAGGGGCCCTAAATAAATAAATAACAAATTAATATTAAAACACACTTTTCAACTTGCACAGTAAAGTCATTGTTTTTCAATCGCTATACAGCCAGATAATACGACAAATCCAGTCGTTCATAAAAGGCAGTATAGTTCTATAGTAACAGAGCAAGTGAAGAATCACCGAATCGGAATGTATAGCTTGAAAGCATTTGGAGCGGGGCCCTTGAAGTGCGGGGCCCGTAGCTACATGTGTCGCTACTGGGATAATCCGGCACATTTGGTGCATCTGCCAGTCATTTCAGTCGGTCAACCCGCGGCACCTGGGTCTGTTCCGTGACCTCCTTGCCAGCGAGCCTTCCACAATTCAAGTGGCCTCAAGGTGCACGCAGCCTGGCACAAGCGCCGTGGTGACGTCACCACCACCTAGTGGGAACGGTTGACTGTCTGCGTGGATGGTGTGTCTGGGTGTGCGTCCCGAACTCCCTCCGCCAGCTGCCCCGGGCCCCAGCATCTCCCCCCCCCCCCACCCCCCTAGGTACCGAGCGTCAGCGACTTGTGGGTCGAGCAGAAGACGATGGCGACCGTGTCGGCCGGAGTGAAACTCGAACCGTCCCTGTGGGGGGGCGAGGGTTAGAGTTGGGGGGAGGAGTGTAGTCGGGAGGGGGGGGGTGGAGGGGAAGGGGCGGAGTCAACGTGGCCCCGCCCATCACGGTCCGCGGTTGGGTAGCCGAGCACCTGGGTGCACCACCCTACTCCATGCCACCCGGCTCCACATTGTCAAGCATGCCACACCCACACCGCACCGCGCTGACTTGCATCAAGCCAAGCATGCATTGCTAGGCCAAGACACACCACTCCCGTGTCCCGCCACACCGCGCCACGGCGCGTCACGTCACAGCACGTCACGCAGACCACGACACCGTTGCCTCACCATACCGCGCCAAGTTGTACCACACCGAACCACGCCACACCTGGGCCACACCGCGCCCTAGCCCCGGGGTCTGGGAGATCGGGAAACACAAATCATGGGAAGTGGGTTGATGTGGTTCGTTCACAAGTCGCGTGTGGCGGCACACGCTGTGGCGTGGCGTGATGCGTGTGCGGTGCGTGTGGCGTGGCGTGATGCTGTGTGCGGTGCGTGTGGCGTGGCGTGATGCATGTGCGGCGCGTGTGGTGTGGCGTGTCTGGTACGTGGTGGTGGCACGCCTTCAGAGGTGCTCACTAACAGCACTTGCCCTCACAGTCTTTCGAAGGCTACACGTGAGATCTCTGTGTGTGTGTGTGACGGGAAGGGGTGGACACACCTGGTGGAGATCATGAAGGTGAGCAACATGAAGCTGAGCTGGATGAGGAGGACTGCAGGAGAGACGGGACCAGGGTCCACAAAAGCGCAACAACGACGCTCGCACACAAAGACAAAGACACCCCATACAGCCATAGCAAACTTTTGGGGCAAGTGCTGTTCACTGGGCAACTTTGAAGGACAATCACGGCACACGAGGGAGGGGGTGGGTGCCCAGCACCATGCCCCGCCGCCTGTCTCCCCATGTTGACACATCGTGCCTAGGGAGGCCCAGGACCGGTTCAGATCATTGTACTGGTGTTGGCCGTGAGCGGGAATCGAACCTCGGCTCGCCATGTCAGAGCGCAACGCGCTAACCGCACTATGGCTAACCCACCACACACGCACGCGCGCACGCACACACGCATACACACACGCGCGCACACACTGTCACTCACACCATGGTGAGCTCCCACTGAGCGAGTGGGTAATGAGTGAGCAGTATGAGGGCAAGTGCAGTGAGTGTGTGAGTAGGTAGTGAGTGTGTGGGCGAGTGTGTGTGAATGAGCGGGCAAGTGGGCGAGTGGCCGAGTGGCCGAGTGGGGACTGGGCGAGTGGGCGACTGGGCGAGTGGCCGAGTGGGCGAGTGGGCGAGTGGCCGAGTGGCCGAGTGGGCGAGTGGGCGAGTGGGCGAGTGGCCGAGTGGGCGAGGAGTGGATGTACAGGGTAGCAGGCAGCTAGTGAGTGGGTGAGTGGGCGAGTGGGCGAGTGGCCGAGTGGCCGAGTGGGCGAGTGGGCAAGTGGGCGAGTGGGCGAGTGGGCGAGTGGGCGAGTGGCCGAGTGGGCGAGTAGCCGAGTGGCCGAGTGGGCGAGTGGGCGAGTGGGCGAGTGGCCGAGTGGGCGAGTGGGCGAGGAGTGGATGTACAGGGTAGCAGGCAGCTAGTGAGTGGGTGAGTGGGCGAGTGGGCGAGTGGGCGAGTGGGCGAGTGGGCGAGTGGGCGAGTGGGCGAGTGGGCGAGTGGGCGAGTGGCCGAGTGGGCG